CCCCTCTTTCAATACAACTCCTGAAATACGGTATCTTTTAATCGACAAAAACAAGGTAAATCGCATATTACCACACACGTTTCAAGGGCTTGGTGAGTTAATCCACCTTGATGTTGACAGAAATGACATCGTTTCACTTCGTCAGTTCGCTTTTTCTACACTCACGATGTTGTCCAATCTCATCCTTTCAAATAACTACATTTCTCACATATCAGAGCAGGCTTTTCACGGTTTGGAGAGTTTGGACTTCCTCGAACTGTCAGGCAACCGCCTTTCTGTATTTCCGATGGGGGCCATCAAGTTAGTCCCCAGTAAACATCTCTATTTGGTCATGCTTAAAACAAATCACATCAGTCAGATACCCAGAGATATAAAAACAGTGCGTCCAGAGACTTCTTTTGATTTTCGAGGAAACCCTTTGCGTTGTCCATATGGATCAAACAACAATGACATTTTCAACGTCTTTTATTACATAACCGGCACTAGAAATAACCGTCCTTTTGTTGTCAAAGAGTTCTTTCTCAGAGAAAGGTTTAAATATTTCGGCATCCATCCTTCCGTCATGACGGTAATTGAAAACACTGACGTTGGCTTACCCGAAAAGCACGATCTTGATATAGCGTCACGTTCAGCTAAGTCCTACTACTGGAACACCCCGAGCGGACGCCGTTATCTTAACTCCTATGCCGACAACATTACGATCAAAAGCTTTACAGAAAAGGACTCTGGTGTATACACCTTTGTAGCAGACAAAGGTAGCCATAAAGTAAACTATGATTTTGTATTTTGTGTGAATAAGAACATCAGCGAGAAGCGACAACACCAGACGACAAATGCAATGACCACATCAGATAAAAACAAACCAGACAACTGCCCCACTTTCACGAATAAGTCCTGTTGTTTACCTGGGTTCCGTTCAGGGTCAATTGATCTTAAGTTATGTGTTCCTGGCAACATTACTGCAGAAACCGACAGAAATGAACCTAGACCCAACATTTTGCTAATCGTTGGCATTACCGTTCTTGCTAAATTCCTTTTGGTACTTATTCCCACTGTAGTGTTGTGTTGGAAAAAACAGCCCAATGCCAACCAAAATAACACTAACCCGTCTAGTGCAACATTTTATGTGGGAGTGCAAAGTGTGACTGTCTGTGTTCATGCCGTACCCAATACATATCACACACAAAAGGAAGAACTCGATCCGAACACTTTCGAAACTCCGTCAGTTACTTGCATATGTGCAGAAGACGCGCGATCTCGTTCCCTTTCCGTGACTCGAGCTCAAGCCGCTGCTGCGGACACGGCCCTTAATGCACAAGAAGAAACTCATCAGTACAGTAACGATGATACACCCGGACATTCTGCAGACACTGAGGAGGGACGGGATCACCTCGACGCCTCTGCGGCACCTCCTCTACCTGTGTGTGACGGTGAAGACAACTCCAGTCCTGGGGCTACAGGCCCGGACCCGCTACAAGCAGTACCCGGGCAACCTGCTTCTCAAATCGATGAATCTGAGTCCGATGAGGAAGAAAGGCCGTACGGAATGGCAGCAGCAAATTCAGCGTATGAAGACACAAACCTGTATCAGAATGAAATTGTTTCAGGCAATCATAACCCAGGACTACGTTACTCTGTGGTAAATGCGACCCAAAGCGAAACGACCCCCTCTATTCAAGAGTCAAGAAATAGCTTGTACGGACAGCAACCTGAAAACATGACCATGGTATGTGACAGTACTCGTTCGGAGGACTTGGACATCCTATATGGAAACTGTCCAGCAACGGACGAGTGACCACTGACATGATTTCTTTTCTAGTAATGGTCCAGACAATAAGTCTCAAACGTCACCCTTAAATGAGAACAAGATGAGGTAGATTAGTGTTAAGTCACTCAGTCCTTCAGACAATGTTGGGTTTGAGGCAGAATTACTTTATTTTCTGGTGTACGTCCAGGTATTTATCATAAGGCTACACCAAGTAAATTTTATGGATGACGTCCTTTGGAGACCCTAAATCTAATGCGAGAGGGCGAAAAAAAAACAAGAAGGGCCCTAAAAAACAAGATGCCTAGATTGGAAATATACTAAGAGACGACGAATGTTAGGACATAAATTGAATGAGGTGACACAGTGTAACAAGCAAGAAGTCTTTTATTCATCATCAAAACAGCAATAAATCAGGTGGAACAGTGGACAGTGAAAAATTTTCTGTTATTAACAGGATGGTCCTGTCAATAGTGCAAATTTTCTGTTATTGATATACACTTTCAATATATACCAGTAGACACTTTCTTCGTGTTACGAGTTTCACATCAATCTGGTGATTTGCGGCACTGTCGTGACTCTTTGGTCATAGTTACAGGAAGCGGAATTTCTTGTTTTTACCTCCGGGGAAGGAGATATCCTTCCGCGAGGAGGTTTTACTATGGTTCGAAACATTTCTGTCAGCAGCTGTTTCTCGCGATCGGCTGGACGGATTGGTCTGTTGTTCGGTATACGTATTGCTGTTGGGCTGCAGATGATGCAGAACGTTTTTGTTTAATTGTATATGTGTTTATGGGCGTCGAAATAAAAGGTTTTTAAGTGCTCCGGACACCCCCGCCATGCTGAAAATGGAATTTACCATGTTGTTAAGGAATGGGGAGGTTTCAGTTTTGGGTCTTACCATTTAAAAGGGGTCAAACAGAGGGGTGTCTGCTTTCGATATGTATTTTGAAATATTATCGCAGTTGTATCTCGCGTTGGGGTAGACTGGACTCGGTGTATGTTCTTCTAATGGGCTGTAGATGGTGCAGGATTTTTTGTTTTTATTGTATATGTGTTTTGGGGCGTAAAAATCTGAAAATGGTCGCGCGCGGCGCTGGGCTGGCTGCCAGCGCAACTTCCGGGTGGGCCAATGGGTCAGGGGTCAACGCCCTCTTGCGCAATCTTGGATGTTTTCGGCGTATAGTACGACTTCTTAACTTACAAATACCGTGGTATACTGTCTCAGACGTTCTCGACATGCATTTTTACCGTGGGTACATGGTATGGGCTGCAGATGAAAATGTATTAACACAACCAGGAACGCTAAATCTAACACATAAAAATATTAAATTCAACACCATCAACTATACAGAACAAACAACATGGAAAAATATACAATAAAAAGCCCGGAGGTATAAAATCTCAGATTTTACTTGTCACAGTTTTCTAGGAACAGGCCAAAATCAATGCGCGCGCGGACGTCATCCATAAAATTTACTTGGTGTGGCCTAATGCGGTTGGATAGCCAAGTTAAAGGTCACAGTTGTCATTGTGGCATATCGGATGAGCAGATGTTGGGGTGAAAGATAATAATTTTCTTTGAGTGACCAACGGGCTTCTCTGAAAGGCCCTTACCCCAAATATGCAGAGGAACAGTTGAGTAAAAGGCCAAAGTTGTAAAGGGAAAATGGATGATGTCTACATTTATCATTACGTACAAGATATGATGTATATACGAATGAAGGTGCGCTTCTGCGAGCGGACACGGTGTTACATGGGCTTTTCGTGCGGTGCCTGTAAGTTGTATGTCAACTAGTCACTAGGTCACTCTAGACGTATTCAAAGATGTCTGCACCTGTTTGGGAAGGTTTTGCCTAGATTGAAGCCTAATTATTTCTTGTATATTTGTACAGTTTACAAAAGGGAACTACATACCCGAGCATAGCCTAACCTGCAGTACCGCTCCCGGTCGCCTCTAGAAAGTGGCTAAAACGACCGTCAAATTTCCCAATTTTCTATCTTTTTGGGAATGGGGATATTGTGAAAGGCTCGCAAAGGGGTTAGAATGTGTTAGCCTTAGTTGTGATTGTTTTCGAAAAAGTGACAATCTAATATGAAGATTGACATGATTTAAGGTATAATGTTAGCCATTATCATTATTTATCCATGTGGATCTGGCGTTCTGTTTTATGGATTAGTGTTTTATGGATTAGTATTTCATGTAAGACACGTTTATGTATATTATCATGTATTGATATAATTGTACAGTTACCCGGCCCCCTGCGAGTTTGTGTTTTGTACATAAAGATGTTGTGGAACCTACTTATTAGTCGTCAATAAAGTGAAACAAAAAAGTAAAATCAGAATATTCGATTGTCCACCGCAAAGAGTAGGTGTATCAAGTAAATGTTCAAGTTCAATGCAATTTAGCCAGCTGCCGCCGTGCGGAGTGCCTGCGAAGCTGGTGTGTTACGCCGAGCGGCGGTTGTACTGGCCATGGCGGTTAACAGGTAAGTTGTAAGCAGGTACTCCAAGTCAGACTGGTAGGATAGAAGATTGGTTTTTCAAATCGTTTGGTTTCTTCATTAATCTCCTAGAATGTAGTGTACATATTCGAAATGCTTGACTGTCCCTCCTACTGTCTCCCTCCACTTCGGTATTCCCCGTGCGTGGTTTCATGACATTTGTTCCTACGTCCGCCTGGTGTCGCTTTCACTAAGCTGTATAACTTACACTGCACATTCCATCTATTCCACTAGGAGGCGCAAGCAAGCCGCTGGCAAATCAAACCATATAGTCAAGGCTTTAAAATAGCTAAAAACTTAAAAGGATGAAACATTCCAAATCTGTACCTTCTTACCCAACACATTTGAAAACAATAGCTTTTTTCCTATCTTAATTTTAATGTAAAAACTTAAACAGTATTGCAATGGGCAAGAGTTTGCAATACTGTTTGTACAGGGAACAGTTATCAATCAATACTTCATTTGACTGGAATGCCCTCCATACATGTTGTAACAACAAAGAGTGCCAAGTCTTCACATCTAACAATTGTTCTTACATACATTACTGAGGGTTTGACTTCTTTGGAGGCAGTGACTAATAATGAACATTAGGCAGTGAGATTGGAGCAAAGTCTTAGACACTAAAGACTGCCTGATTCGAATCTACAGTATACATAGTTATAGTAGCAACAGGTCCCTGCCATTAGTTGTAATTAGAGAAAACACTGCATACACAACAGACTTGGGAACAAAATAAACCTTTTATTTGACAAATTGAAAATGGAATGTCCGAAGCCACAGCTGACAAGGCAATCAAATGTGGCAAGAATGTGCACCTCGGAACAGAACCGTCTTGCCAACAACAGAGCTGGGGAGAAATGGCTTGATATAACATATTGGTAAGTACAACAAACTTGAACAACATGACAGGTGCCTAATGATGTATACACGCTACAGTGATGGCAACCAAGTTTCCAAGCGCTTCAAGGTACAGACTGTGTAATACTGACGGACGGTACCATATATTTCCTAGATGTACACCATTATACAATATCTTGATTGAGCGTACTAGAATGATAAATACAGAAATCATCATTTACAGGAAAAATACTGGCATAACTATGAAACAATGGATGATGAAGGAATGAAAAAATAGGGAGTATGTATGTTGGGTTCAGGTTATGCATGGTGACGATTTTCCGATAGTAAAAATAAAAGTTGGACTAAATTGGCTACATCAATACCATTATATTCTGCAGAACATTTGGCTACCACAAAACCGTTATATAACTATGATACAGAAACCTACAAAACTGTTGAACCAGCAACATCTTTCTTCTTACATTTTTACTTCAACAAGTTTGTGAATAGTGTTGTTAGGTATAGAATATCTCAAATTGTTCCTACTCTATAAAATAGATGTCTCACAACAAACTTTGACACTCAGAGAAAGAAAACATATATAGCAGTGACTGATGCTCGGAACCCAAATGTGCTAAAGGCAAGCGACCTATTCATTGTGTCAGTGTGCTACTTAAAAGTGCATAGCACCTTGTTTATTTGGGCATCGCCATATACAAACAACGACATCCGTTCCCTGATATAACTCTTGTTTCCACTAGTTTTTTTGACGCACTAGAGAACAGTGAACGCATCTCTACACAACTGGCGTCTACTGTGGTACACTGTCCACTGTATCAAATTGTCCAAGGTAGAAAACGCAGCTCTCTGAGTTAACATCACTCCAGCAGATGCTACATAATTATGCATAATATAGTCAGGGCTTTAAAACAGCTAAAAAGGATGAAACATTCCAAATCTGGACCTCCTTCTCTTAAAAAAATTAATTGTAATCTCATGAGTAAGATTCAACCAACATGGAGAAGCCGGTGCTTTGTGCAAACAGAACGGTACAACTTGGCACTTTTAAACATCTTACTCCTACCCTAAATAAAGCCCACATTGTCCGCCCTCTTAACAACAAATGCAAACCTAACTCTTGTCTTCATTTACATATCAACTTCACCACATCAATACGCAAACTGCTGGGAAAACTAACAAAGAAAGTACCGAGCAAAATAAAGGGAATGCCATTCAGCACAAGCGTGTGCCAACCAACGAACATTTGATACCAGACGATTTAAGTGTAAACCGGGTTAACGTGAACGATTTTGGAAATGCTTCAGCCAGTAAAGCTGTTTTTTATTCTTATCTACAAGTTTGATGTTGGTGTCTGGTGGTGTGTGTCTGGGTTCACTGCGACTCCTGTAGCTGCAGCTTGGAGCCGAAGATCTCGTGGATCTGTTCCTCGTACAGCTCGATGTTCCGCTTCATCAGCTCCTTACAGGGGCCCAGCAGCCGCTCAAACGCATGGACGTCCAGCCCTGACAATCACGAACAACAGTTAGAATGATCAAACAAGACGTCTGGAACAGCGACATGCTCATACGTTATGCTTTACACAGTCACAGTGACAGACTATAGTTAACACACACATATCGTAGAGGGTCAGTACAATATCCAGTGCACATACATGTACCTGTTGAGCACCATGCATGCAGTGTCTTAGTATGCATGGTCATGGGATGAGGTGATTTTACAAGCTAGATAGGGACACAATAAACCAGAGTTCCAAGATCTCAGCCCTGTCAATTATTATAGGTTTCACAAAGGCACAGTACCTGGTACAACCCTGATCACATACTGTACTCAAAGACATTCTGGTCTGCAACAAGGTCATTACGTCAACACCGTGTAACTTGACGTTGCCAAATATTTAAATTTGGTGCCATGCTTGACGTCAATGGCATGGGACAAAACTTCATCATGCTAAAGTTAGTACATAAACTATCCATCAACCATGTCAACCAAGTCCCAATGGGAGTACAAGACATTTCCCCCACTGAGGACATCAAAAATTCCCATGATTGCATGAAAAGTGGTAAGTAAAGGTTAAACTTACTTGCTACTTTGGTTTTGCCCACTGCATAGGCAGAGGCTGCTCTGGGATTGTTGGTCACAAGCGCCAGTTCTAGATTTAAAAGAAAAAAGAGAAAAGATTGGTATAAATGAACAATTTGAGCACATAACTTGATTATCTACCTATATGGGATGGGAGAATGATACTGCTAGTCATTACATCACCTGAATAATTGATAAGGAAAAAAATGTTACCACTTTCGTTTATCGATTTTATCTATGAAGATTGATGACTGTCACGTGTATCCTGAGCTTAAAATAAAACTCCACTCTGCAAAGTGAAAGTAAAAAAAGTTCTCTTGAACCCATTTAGCTCAATGAACAGTTGCACTACTCTTTCACTGGTTGTGACAGTACATGTATTGTTGTAATAATATGTATAGACTAACAGTAGTTATGTGTACAGTATTGTCAGTAACAGTTGTAATAATCTTTGTAATCAACACAATTCAGACGTATCTTGTGCAGTTTGATCTTAATAAAATTGTACAAAGATTCTCACCTCCAAAGTAGTCTCCCTGTTTACACCTGGTGACCTCCAGTTCCTTGTCAGGGTCGTCCTGTGGCACACAGAAGAGAAGTCAGGAGGACTGACCTGTTAGTTAACTACCAGAGGGGTTAGCCTGGGATCCTTACTATTCTAGCTCTGTTCACTCTTTCAATCGCTTCCATGCAGGATAGGCTGGCAACAGTGAAACCATTGAAACGTTTGATAGAATAGGCAAGAGTTCAGATTGGTTCTGAGTCACAGGGACTTGGAAACAGGGTTTGAATAGCAATTTAGAAGTTCAACCTTTTTACACTGCTTCTAAGATGTAATGGATTCCAACATAATGCTGGTTGTAAGGACCGATAGCTTGGTTACCAAACCTAATTTCACTGCAATTCCAGTTGCAGATGAGACGAAAGAGACATGTCAGCTAAATTAAGTTAGGTAACCAGGCTAAAGAACTATATGTTTGAACGAGGATGAGGTCAGATAATTCTGCGTGGAAGCGATTGTTGGAGCAAACTGGGGCTAGAATAGGATGGATCCCAGGCAAGCAGAGGGGATGGAAAGGGAGAGGAGACCAGGGAAGCTGAGCGTTTACAGGGACCAGCAAGATGACGTCAGTCAGATATACAGCTGCAACGGATAGCCGATAAAGGGTCACGTGGTAGAGTATAACAAGCACTGGATTCACATGAAAAGTTCACACAGGGCAGAACCACACAGAGAGCTTCCAAGTTGAATTTAGGGAGCACCACAAGTGTTAGAAATGTGAGCAATAAAGCTGACTGGACACAATCACGACAAAACTGATCAGGTGACATCACGCGGGAGTAGAGACACGAGGATTCACACTTCAGACAAGTCAGGAGCAGAATGACACAGGAACAAAGCCGTGCAACACTCAAGAGGGTCCAGGAAGGACACGCAGAGATTTATCATGGAAGTTGATCATCTGTGTTGGTAGTAATCATAGTACAATGCTAAACATTATTCTAACACAAAGGGTACACAAGGATCAAATTTTCAACAACCACTGTTGCCTTCATCAGGGTGGTTAATGACAGTGGTCATTGATCCTGTGTACCCTTGTGTACCCTTTGTGTTGAAATAAAGTTTAGCATTGTACTGAGGCAGAGCGTTGTATAGGGGGATACAAGCAATGAAGCCAGGCAAGAACACACAATGGGCCCATAATAAAAGCTGGACGACAAGAGGCACCCGGGAAAAGACAGTAGTTGAAGGTTACAGCATCAAGCTCACACATCAAAAACCAAGCTGACACCCATATCACATCAACTACCAGAACTAACGCTGCGCAAAGGAAGCTTAAATTGCTTTGACATTCTTCAATACATGCACATGACAGCATGCAGAACCACACTCAATACAGTATGTCCAGCTCCCCTGGACAGAGGCACACGCTACTCAGTTGGTGCAACTGGTGCAATTTATGTTGTGCAGTTGTGCAGAGAGACTGTCGCACCACAGGACGGGTTCCTTTGAGGGCAGGTGGCCCACAAGTTGCACTATTACACCTTGAGTTTGATCTACATTTTATTTCCTAAACTACACATAACAGCTGCCAAAGAAGCTGCCTTTTTCAATCAAGTCCTTTTATAGCGATGCTACAGGACCTGAGCGTACTTTATGAAGTCTGCATTCTATTACGTTTCCAAACGCAGTAACACTGTTACAGTAACAGATTTTTAGCTGGATTTTGCCATCATTATGCAACAGGCTGTAATATGTGACATTTTAACACTTGGTGAAGGTGGCAAGCTTAAAAGCAAATGTCACTATGACATGATGGCAGAAAAAGTAATAAAATCATGTGAGTATGGCACTGTTAAGAGGTGAGCTTCTCTCCCTTTCCACACACCCCCCCGAGTCAAAACAACCCTTCCGTTGGCGCAGTGCAACAAAATAGTGTACTCACGGCATTCTAGTACAGCGGCACAGGACAGACACCACAACACAACAACGATGCGCGTCAGGAAGAAACAAATATCTGTAAGTAATACTGCCTTTTCTTCCCCAATGACATGACACAGCAAACAAGGGGAAAAAATCATTCAGATATCTGATTTTGAATATCACACATAAAAGATGCTGAAAATCATGATAATCATTCATGAAAAACACGAACTAAAAGAAATGGTATACAATCATGATAATAAGAGTATGGCAAATTATTAAAGGTAAATTTCACTTTTCCTCAGCGAAATGTTTTTAAACAATGTTGATACAGTAAATGTACATGCCAAGCAAAACTAGCAGGTTTCAATCCTGAGAAATGTATACAAAAGCCCAACAAATGGTTGCATAGTATGCTAGGTACATAGTACGCTCACAGGCACACATTGGTATATCCATACCACATCATGTAAAAATAATGCCAAATGAAAAATGTTGTAAAACTGAGTTATTTCTAATATGCTGTAATGTTCTGACAAGGGAAATCATTCAGGTGATGACATTTCTGATTTACATTTGATGGCTTCATTAATTTCAAGAATTTCACTAAGTCTGGCAAGGTTAAAAAATCAGGCAGGTCAGCAAATGAAGTGATCTAAGCTAATGTCCAAGTTGCCAGCGTTCCCTCTTTTTGACTGCTGTTCATTGAGTTTAGTGACCGGTCATTGGCATTTTGGGCCAAGAGCTAACAATGACTGTCGGTGCATGCTGAGCTCAATCATTGATTGGGAAAACATATGCTACTTTGTCTGACTGTTCATAATTGTACATGCACATCTTTGTGTAACACAACAAAGGTTTCTCATGCTTCTGTTCAATACCAACCACTGTCTACTGCTTAAAAATAGCCCGTACGTTCTTTGTGAGGTTATGTTGGTTTGGGTTTTCAGGTTGTTTTTAACGACAGCTGTGACAGAGATGACAATAGGTAATGTGACTGAATGGTTACCGGTTGAGAAGACCTACCTTGTTTTTCATGGCGATCCTCACCACACCTTCCTCCACAAAGTACATGCAGTCTGCAGAGTCACCCTGGAATATCAGAGAGTGACAATCATATCATACTGCAAATCATGATGAAATGTTTGTGGTTTTATTTTTGCAGTTTTCACAGAGGCCTCATACTGGGAAATCTTAACACGGTGAATCTGTGTTTTGTATTGTATTGCTACAGTAACTGTGGTACATAATTGTATCAACTTCAAACACCCCTTTTCCCCTCATACCATGAAATAAAACCACTACACAAGTAAAATGCATCAATTTTACATCAAGTCTAATTGGGTTGGCGGTGGTTCCGTTAAGTCATCCAGGAAAGAGATGGGATAATTTTGTCTATACAAGATCCTTAGAAAGCATCACCTCAATCACCTCAAGACAAGGGCAAAATAACACATAGAAAATACAGGTCAAACAAGAGTATATAACATACACGTTATTGCAAAATTCCAACCCACTCACTTGTCTGATGATGACTTCACCATCCTCGAAACTCTGGGTCATGAGTGCATCAGCAACCTTCATTCTCTCAAATTGCTGAAAGGGAATGGAATATAAACGGTCCATGAACTTAACAATTGTAACCATCCAACTTCAACTTTAGGGTATCTACAAAACCAAGTTTGGTGCTTTTTAAGACAAGAGATCAAAGATCACATACCACTGTAAAATACTTGTGAATTTTTTGTCTTATTTATTGTCGTGAATGTCTCCCTGATTCTGCATAGCATGTATTTTCCCACCGGCTCCCAAAAAGGAACAGGTAATGCATGTGCATACAGCAGGAAATTGAAGACAGGAAAGGAGATCTATTCTGAACCCATTTACCTAACTTCCTCTCATTGCCACCTAACTTACCTCCAGAGTCTTGAGCATGGGCACATTGTCCAGCAGGTTTTCGTACATCTTTCTCTTCTTGTAGGCATTCTTCAGCAATATCCTCCTGAAGGTCTGACGGTCCTGAGGAGAAAAACACAACTCAATCGGTCAAGGTAAACGCAGGATACATGCAGTACATGTACATTGTATGTGAAAGGTTTGTGCATGCAGTAAAATGGGATGGATAGCTCTATTTTGGTGCTGTATTTTGGATCAGATTCTATATTACTGTACAGTCCCTTGAGTTCATTTGAGCTACATGTGTAAACTCGTTTCAGATCACTTCCTTTCAGTTAATTTCAATCAATTTTGCAGGATGCATCCTGTTGTATAACCTGCATTGCCTTACCAGAGCCCACAGTACGCCGTCGGATGTGGCCACAATGGTAGCAGCGCGGGGTGTGTTGTACATGAGAGCCAGCTCTCCAAAGCTGCCAGTATTGTCGTAGGAACCCACATGTTTGTCTGTGCCGTCGATTTTCACATAGATGTTGTAGGTGCCACTGGGGAAAAACACAACATAAAACACCAGAAACATTAACTTCAATCACAGAATGTATACATTTATTTTCAAAGATTGCACATTTTTCCACTACATAATGGTAATAATTAACTAAAACTGCAGTTGATAAAACCTGATATTTTAAAATTTGAAAATGAAACAGCTTATCATGTGGAGAAGCAAGTACTGTAGATTCATTTATTTTTGCATTGTTTAAAGTTTGAGGTTGAAGCAATTCTATACTATAGTAGCAAAACATTGTACAATATGCGCATATTTGTGGGGTGAAACCATGAAACTTTACCACCACAAATATTTTCAAGATTTTCAGTAAGTCTTTATGGCCATCATATAATAGTAATAAACTGATACTAATAGTAATATCATATCTACTGACCTGTCAATGACATAGAAGTTGTCCCCGTCATCACCCTGGTCTATGACATGCTCATCTGGGACCACCTGTGACAATAATCAATGTTACAATGTTTGATGTTACATAAGAACCACTGTAAAGTTCTTTTGATCTCATACAGGTGTTTAAACAAGGTGTAATAAAACTGTCACTGATTAGAACACTACTGCTTCAAGGTATTTCCTGCCTTTTATCTAGAATGGTCTTAACCTTTGCGACTGATGTCTCTCATGAGGTCCTCATTTGCATGAATTATTTCCACCCAAACAATACGGGTTGCCCAATGACAGTCTTATCTGCTCTTGGCAAAGGCAAAAAAAAGCTTTCTTGACATGAAGTATGTCTCAATTTTGCAAGGGGCAGAATGCAATTATATCGTTTCAATTTTATAACATTATATGCAAGTAAAATATGTACGTCAGTAAAGGGTGTACACAATACAACATTAGCTCTATTCGATTTGATTTATGAATCTTCAATATGTGTGGTATTCCAAACTATAATTTTGTACCCAGTACATTCAATTTGGTTACATTACTTGAAATCATTTGCATGTTTCAGTGTAGGGGCTGTGTCCGTTTATACAGCCCTTGGGCCACACAGTTGTGCAAGCACTACCGGTAACAACAGTGGGCTAGTTTACAGGGTCATCTTTACAAATTACATAAGGCAAACCCAAACCTCCCCCAATGCTACTCTGTTGGGGACCTTTCTGCCAATCAAGCAAGGCAACTGGTCACGGAAATGGAATAACTGACCCCATTTTTGCTTAAGTACCTTTCGCAGTCAACCATTGGCTGTTTGGGGAGATCATTTAACCAGGAATATGGCCGTGTAGCTCACAGCCCCTTACAGAAAACAAATGGCCAATTAGCCTTATGACTCTTAGGGCGATGTATTTGTATGTTGTACACAGTAAACCCTTGTAAGCCATGCACATATATTTCTCCTGCGTTCTGTGTTAGTGAAGCATTTTGAACCAATGAGTTACTGAAATACAAATGTGTGCTCCTGCTGAGATCTGTAGCTGGGGGGTCCAGTTGTATCAGGAGGATTACTGGAATGTATGGACCAAATGGAACATCACGAGTGTGGATAAACTACTGTGGATATTGATAGTAATGACTTCAATGCACAGGAGTCCTATCAATTTCCTACTCCCATTTGTACGTTATAAGTTGTAGTAAAACCGATCCCATCATATTTTTCTCCCCATATCTTTACCCCATAGGATCTACATTGTACTTTCAGTTTTCCTGTAATAATTTCCAGCAGTGTGTTTATGTCTTGATATAAGGACGTGTCAAATGCATAATATATATAATGGTCCACGAAAGATAAGTGCTGTTATTGCCTGTCATCACTGGAAGTTAAAGTAACTACACTGACTAAAACATTGTACCAACACAGGGTGTATTAAACATGTCTAGGATAACATTGATTTGCGTATCTTCATTTTTCAGAGAATTTGAATACGCAGGAAAATACCACCGGGATGTTTAAGTTCTCAACAGACCCCCTACTTCAATGTGATGTCAGGACAAAACATGGAACATTCACAATGCACAGCTGTTCAATTCACACACCACAGCAGCGGCAGCAGCCCTTCTAAATTGCCCGATCCTTGTTACAACACCAATTCCCCTGATTGCGTGTGTGTCACCGTGGTAACAGCCTGCACCTGCTGGTTGCCAAGTCACCCCGCAGGTGGTTTTAGTTTCTATCGTAGTCTGCACACAGCATTAAGGGCTTTTCTAGAGATAGGAAAGGAACTTATCGAGACACTGTTAATCTTTAAACTTTAGCAGTGCGTATATTTTTAAAGATTTTTGGTGACTGTCATTACACCACAGTAACTTATACCACAGAATTGTTTTAACCACCAATTCAAAACACCATGAAAATATTCTTTCCCTCCTACTGCAAAACAAAATCACCACAGAAGTAAATGGATTTACAGTAGTCAAGAAGGAAATCTAGTTCTCTTCAAAATCTTTGAGGCTAGTTACTCTGCAGGTGGTTTTGGTTTCTATCATACTGGCACACAGCATTAAGGGCTCTTCCAGAAATCAGAAAGTAACTTAGCAAGTTACTGTTAATCTTTAAACTTTCACAGTGGTTTAATTAATTATGTTTGGCATTTCTCTCAGTGATGTCTTCATGACATCACAAATGTGCATTTCCAGTATCTTTGACTTTACCACAGAATTGTTTCAACCGACAATTTAAAACACCATGAAAATTTCCTTTTCCCTTCTATCGCAAAACAAAATCACCGCAGTAGTAAATGAATTTACAGTGCAAGCGAGAAACCCTAATAACCAACTTCTTCAGGCACCACATCCTAAGGCAATTGCTGCACCATGAACGAAATTCAGGGTGTATAAAATGGATTGAACAGAGTCCTGAAACGGTGCCAAGTGAGTTAAAGGTGGCATGTTATTTCCACCTGTTTCTTTAGGTTGTCAATATTCTCAAATACATGTATTCAAGTGACAGTAAATGCAGAATATCCTTGTAACAGTAAACTGTTTCTTTTCTTCTTTTTATCCCTTTTATCTGTTGACTTTGAATTCCTAAATCCTTCTTTTGTATTCCAGTCTATTACTTAACTGCCCAAGTAGATTGTTTGCTTGCTTGCTTGCATAGTCATTGAAATGCAATAGAAAGAAACTACACTGCACGATTCTAATTATATGCAGAATTTGTAAAAGTCTACCCAAAATAACATTCCATGATATTTTGATCATGGTTTGACACCCAGGTATACGTGATGTGGGTTCTGAGTCTCCCTGTTGCCATGACTACCAATTGGCAGGTGTTATGTCGGCTGACATATAATACACCTTGTGATGTGTTCATCTGCTATGAATAAAGCATGTTCAGTGCATTACAAAAATAGCCCAGGAACAGGACTGTTTTTCTGCAAAACAAAATAATTTACCAAATACAGTTTGCCAATGTTTGGGGGCTGTCACCATGGAAATTCATTATGAGCAACATAATCATATTATATCATGTGCTTCCAAAATAGATTTTCTTACATTATGACCCCGAAGTCTATACAGAAAGCAATATGACTTCTTTCAGGTAAAATTGACAAGGAAAAACAATTCAGATTTCAAATTCCTTCAGCAGACCTCACCATATATGGCCTCTTTATGTTACAGAAACACATACAAGTTTCCAGTGGTGCGCCTTGTTTCAAAGTCAATCCGTGAACCGCCACGCTGATATCCCAAGGGTAATACACGCAGCCCTCTCTGCTTCAGAGGACACGATTATCGCTAGTTCTAAGGCGCGAGACAGAGATGATCAAAGCTTTGTCGGTGACGCTACCTCACAAATTAGCACCTGCATGCAGCTTCCCATGGAGATATGTGTGTGACTGTTCAAATTATTCTGGACAGAATTCAATTTTCTTGGAGTGGGGATATTCAACTGCTTTCTTTTTCCTCCATGTTCAAGTATTTTTCTATTCCATGCAAGACATGCACATTCAGAGAAAAAAAATCTAAAAAAATTCAAAACAATTTAAGACAAGAAAGATGATACTAAGATAATTATGAAATGAATGGGGGAGATCTTAAAAAATCAACACTCATATCGGTGTCAAACTGGGAGCAATTATAGCAGCTCATTGTAATGCTCTCCAGGACAAAAGGAACACGATTATACAATCATCATGTACTGTGGTCTGTAGAAAAATCCTATTTCAGAGCCCCATCCAATCATGATGAGACTGGAATATATGAATATCATTATGGTTGACACGAAAACATGGTGGCCCTTCTTTGATAGATGAACCAGTGGCGGATGAAACTTAACTTCTAATATTTTCCAATTCTGATGACAAGATAGCAACAATGCAGCATGATTTTTACAGAATGTATCCAGTGATTGTATTCTTTTAGCTCATGCATTTTTGGTGACATTGAATAAAGCTTACGTGGCTACATGTATATGCTGATCAAGACAGACAGAATGACAGGCCACATGATTAGATCCGTCGCCATTTTCCAACAGAATTCACTGATAATTTGTATCTGCTTGGCAGCTGAGCGACAACGTAATTGATCAAGGTCTGATCTTCTAAAGACCATGACAGTGACATCTCTCCATGACATTGAACCTAAAAGCTAATCATTTGGGACCCAACTTCTAGGGAAGAATGTAAAAAAGGATGGGCTTAAATATGGCTATATTTGGCAGAAATACCCAACATGTTACAGCATTGGTTTAACTTATAACCAATCTTACATAAAATATGCAAAGTTACATGTACAATGCTCTTTCCCCAAGCCATCATAATGATTTCAGAATTCCTAATAAATGCAAGCCATAAAATAACAAGAAATCAGAGATTTCATACTTCTGGGAAGTACTTTTTTGGGGGTGTGTGTGACCTACATCTTCACCCCATTTCCTTTGTCTTACCTTTTGACCTCCTATCATTCTGCCTGTCAATCTTCTCCCACCCAAGTGCAGTCAACCTACTCTTGTAAGTTCACCCAATTTCCTGAGTCTGTCCTTCTACCTGTCAATCTTTCCCCACCCACATCCTGTCAACCTTCTGGCCGGACAAACAGGTACAAAAACCCAGAACTCAGCCGAGTCATAAAAAAATACTTCCGTACCTGGAAGTAAATAATCACCATATATATGAAATCTACAGGGACTGTGTCTAGTATACAAGTAAGTATCCTGTTAGCTGTAACAGGTAGTTAGTTTACCTTTCTCTCGAACATTGCATCCAGCACCTCTTGCATCTGTTCCGGGTCCAGGGACTTGAAGAGAAGGATGCTTGCCACGGCCTGAGCTAGCCTGGTCCTCTGACTGTCTGACTTGGGGTGCACAACCTGAACAGAAGCAGCAAATATCCTTCGTTATATAGTTCCTGTAGGATTAACTATAAATTCAATTCAGTGTGAAGATTGATACTAGTCATAGACACTGGCAAACCTGTACAGGTGACCAGCTCTCTAGATAAGGACCATCTGCTTTTTGATGGTCCCTTAGATACTTTTCCCCATTAACACAGTATCTACAGTAACCACCTGTCCACATAGACCAGATTTCATTGGTCTGAGTGTGTGGGTGGTCTTCATGGGCAGTTCTGACTGTAAACTGTTGACACTTTAACTTGATTAAATGTCTGTTCATGAGATACAGATTATTAATTTATCACATGGGCTGGAACACCCATATTGAACATTATCGTGGCCCAACTACGACATTAAAACTTTTCTTACCTTCTTGTCATCATCCTCATCATCTGCGTCTGGGTCATACCTTTCTGCACAAACTGTTAAAAGGCAACAACAAAAAACATGCTCAAAGTGACTCAAGTAAAATTACTACCAAGACTAAGAGTAAGAGTAAGAAAAACAATTTTCCTTAATGGAACCATTATAAGAAATGTCTGTTGGCACACCTGTGACTTGTACAGACGATAGAAAAATCTTCCAAAATTTTCCAGAAAAATACTTAGTAACCACACTATACAATACTACAATAATAATAAAAACATCACTAGTATGAAGAGGTAGATTTTTAAGACTTGAAGATGTAAAAGATATGTGGAAAGAACAGTAAAAGACATTGCTGGTCAAAGATATACTTGACAGCATTAGATTAATGTTCAGACCCTAATGGAAAACAGATTAATTCACCTGAGTCAAGATAACACAGGAATTCCACAAAAGGCTTAGAGGTACCTTTGTTTATCACACACACCGTCATTATTCTTCACTAGTGATAACACCCTTTTATCCTCCATCACTCTGTTTATCTACTTTACGTGTTTAACTTTGTCCTGACGTTAGTTCAGATTGTAGCCTTGCAAAACAAGGTACAGATGAATTATAACCCTTTTGAATGTTCAACATTAATGGAGCCATGTTTTCTCCTTGTACTAACCATTTGCCTGGTAATAATCAAGGACCATGGCAATGAGAGTCCCCTATCAATATATATGATGACATTATGAGCTGGTCCACATACAGGGGAGCAAACCATAATAAAACCACAGTGCCAATAAAGTGAAATGTTCTCAGAAAATCTGTTGAGTCAAAGTTTGGAGAGCTTGTTTTCTGGGACACATTTCTCCAGTGATACTTTTATTTGCTTCGTCAACACATTTTCGATACAATTGTATGAAGCAAATGTTAAGAATGTCAAAACTAATTCAAAAGCATCGTGCTATGAATGAATAACCCCTTTTCATGTGAGTTTAAACAGTTAATATTACAGAGGGCCTATACGTTTTGAAGGTCAACTGTACCATTTAGGTATCATAATTAAACTTGAGGCGACTGGCATTTAAATCCAGAAGTTCATATCGATTGACTGTTACATCTCATGCAATTTTAATGACCTGATCACACTCTTTGCTATGTTTGTTGAAATGTTTTTGACTTGACATTTGTCTCTTGAATATAATCTATTCAACAATCTAATCTACAATGAAAAGTGTTAGCGATGGACCAATGGGAACTGCTTTGATAGCGAACATCAAAACAAAAAATTATCACCTTGACCTCATACACTACCCAGCTTGATCATGAGTAATACATAATAACGGTAAAATTGACCTAAGCAGTGTCAAGTGCCTCTGATGCAAAGTAAATTTTGTCACCTGCCAACTTTTTAAAATACCTCTTGCCGTGCAAATAATGTTTTCTGTGCAAGACTGATTGGAGATGCCATATGCAAAAGTTATAATTATTTTTTTTCATACAAAGCAACCTCTTTAAAGTTTGCCATGGCTCAGCTTACCACTTTTGAAACAAGCTGTGTCCCACCATGGCCAGCGTGTGAGCAATTAACTTTTACAGGTGTCCTAGCTTACAGCTTGCCTTCTAAAATAAACAGCCAGTGGTGCCAGCACCTTGAAATATTGATGGGCTACCTAGCTTTATTTGGCTTAGGTTGCCCACTGAGCGGGTAACCTGAGAAAAAAGGCTTTCGGACCCTGGTAGGTCTTACCTGACTGTCTCCTTCTCTTGTAGCTGTCTAGAATTCTCTTCGGAGGCGGCTCTGCAAAAACAGAAAAAAATCATCACACTTGAGGAAGAGCACATTCATATGAGGTAAAATGTAAATACTTTAAGTTAAACTTGACAGAAACAGAGAAAGAGGTCACCACACTGTTGATTCTCAAGTCCTCTAAAAAGTTCTGTTATTTTTGCGGGGACATATTTGCCACAGAAGGAGAAAGGATGTTTTCTGGCTATGTTCTAAAGCAACACATTTCAGAAATACATTGGAAACATATTTTCCTACACTGTATATCCAGTGGTCTTTCCATCTTCTCCACTCGTAAATCATTCATAAATCAATCAGGTCCCTAAAGGTATCAGACGTTGCTATCAAACACGGGCAGCACAAAACATGGACAAACAATACCATTACCGATACATTGCTTCTTGTCAAACATGTAAACAAAATGAGGTGTGGCTTGTGACTGTGGTTTGCCAAACAGTCTGGCATGATTCTCAAATGGGTCATTAAAGATACATATAATGTACATGTACACAAACAGCTACTTTGTTTCTGTTGACAAATGCATTAAAAGTCAAAGCAAGAACCCTTAACTACATCAAATCAGTTGGTCTCCCTGGTCCTATTTCTACCTTGCAAAAAAACATGTAATTTCTGAGAGTAATGCTTTTGCAAGATGTTCCATAGATTTACAGTTATAATAAGTCTGATGTCAAAAAGGATCATTAGGTGAGTGAAGGTTAAAAAGATTATTTTCCAGTCCAGGTGTGCTCTATGGTGAGAGTGCCATGACCACAACGGCACCTCTCAATACTGTCTGCAAAATGCAAGAGACCCAAACCAAGTTCGTGCGTGCAATCAGTGATCCGAAAAATTCCAGACCAGGTGGATTAACACTGGAATTTTACGAGTCATTTCTAGATCCCAAATGTGTGGAGGGCACAAAGCAGCTACTTACGTGGCTAGAAACACAGATCTGGTTATAGCAAAGCCATAACAAAACAAACCTAGGAAGAGGGTATGTCATTATATTACATCTGGCTGTAACAACATTGGACGGTGAACGTGTTGCACTCCGATATAGCACAATGGCATGTCTTCAACAGGTTCAAATGTGTTCAAACAGCTGCCTAATCCTTAAGGTTTAGCTCTTGGAGTGGCCTTAAGAACACTAAATGCAAATAACAGGAAACATTGACATTTAACCTGAATAACACCATTACCTATAGCACATTCCTTTTCACTACAGTTGTGACCAGGTATTACTTTACAATAGAAAACCAATTTCTTATCAGCAAAGTCCAACCTTCTCCATAGTAACCAGCCCTACAAGCATCTATTTGGTAAACACAGACATGCGTAAGCCCTACTAGAGAATCTATGGTCTGAATCATGTAACAGAGAGTACACACTACAACAGGCATGCCAACACTTCAACTCAAAATACAACTGGGTGGAGTCAAGAGGGCTTGGCTTATGGCAAACCTAAGTTCCTGATTCAAATACATATAATGCAAAAAAATAACATAAAGCAGTGAATAGTACGCAGTAAAATAACAGAGAAAGTAGTGTGCATTACTACGGAATGACTGGTTGACATAGTTGTCTACTACATCAATTTGTACAAGCACACTGTCAAAGACTGCGGCAAGCACAATCGACAAGTGTTATTTTGTTTGTGGATGAAAAGCAATAAATATCAAGCTATTTTACTGAAATCATTTTGTCAGATTATCAACGGATGAAAAAGCTGGGTTGTGGAAAAATATCAGCCTTCAATACATAAAGTCATATCAGAATTTGGTTTTACATTGTTCATATCTCAGTGAGATGTTGCTGACTTGGTCATTTGACCCTTAAACTATCATCACGTTGTTGCTGTTGTCATTCACTCATTATTTTTGTTTGATATGAAAATAAAATCTACCATATACCAACTCTAAATCATTTATCAAAAGAGTGGATTCAAGATTTGTCTTTACATCATGTGTCCTTCCCCTGATAAATACATACAGAACATGACCTTCAAATAACCCCTAGACCCAGCACTTCAAGTCAAGCAAAGATGGTTTCCACAGATTAGGGTATAGAACCAACTGAGAAATGTTTTCATGATTCAGATCACATGTAAATACACATGCAAAGATAGACAGCAAAACAGGAATCAACTCCATGTAATTATGAATCAGGCATATAAACTTCCCTCCATATGGAATATGTAAGATCCGGGGTATACAATAAACACCTGATTAACAGTCATAATCCCCTATCAGCTCATTTGGGGTCACGCCTTTGAAAAAAGGTTTAGTGTCGCCTAGCATTGTTAGAGATTACACCATTGTTTATGACAAGCTTGTCTGTTGAAAGGGAACCTCTAATAACTTTGTTTATGGCAACACTACCTGGCGGTAGAAGAAAAAGTCGCGTGGGAAGGGTAACATTTTTGTGGGAGCTGTCGTGTTTTGTATCCCCCACTGCTATCTATCTGGAGATCTACGAAACATTAGAATTACACACCCGCGCAACATTCGGATAACGTTTCAGGTACTGAACTATCTTCGTGATAGATCGCTACTGTGGAAAACACACTATCACATGACAGTGAACTCAAGATAGGACACGATTCACGATTTGTTTTGCAAGGAAAAGTCTTGGGTGGTAAAAAAAAAACATGACTGAATTTCTAACATAGCCACAGTGAACCCGTGTGTAACAGAGCGTGTGCCTGGGAAAGTTTTGAGTGAAGACAGTGATTATGAGATCTCCTGGAGCTTTTACAAGATGATAGGATATTTGTAGTCAAGCCCACCGTCTAGAATGTCGTCGTCGTCTGAACCATTTTCCATGGGCTCGCCATCGAACTTCACGCCTCTCTTCTGTCCGCCCGGTCTGTCCTCCCTTTCCCGCAGGTTGTTGAAGTAGTCGGCGGCAAAACTCACCAGATCGTCCGGTCTTTCCCTCAGAACAGCGACAGTGAAATCCTGTAGGAGGTCTGTAAGTCCCGTGGGAATTTCGAAATTCATATTGACTCGTATTCAGTGGCTTGTTCGTCGTCAACGTCAAAACACCGGGCGCGGCGCGGAGCGGAGCCGAGCTGCGGCGGCGACTCGTCTCTCCTGGTCCCGATGACGAGATGCACGTGTCTCGCGGTGAATGTCTCCCCCTAAACAAGTCACAAGCACCGCTATGTGGACCATATAATGGTCCAGATGAATCCAACAGGTTGCCGCGATTTGCCCGAAGCTTCGTCCTTCACAGCGGGGACTTGATGCACGATAAAAATCAGTGCGTGTTTGGAGCCCAAACACAAGACAATGCTCATTACTCGCACCCTCCCCCTTTGGTCGTCTGAATGATGACGTAATTAAGGGCGGCTCATTAGCGAGGGTAAATTATTCCTAAACACATAATTAATGTAATCCAACGTTACATTTTATCAGATTGTGAACAATAACTTCAATGATGCTTTCAAAGTAAAATATAACATAATACTGTGGTAAAATTTCCATTTCTTTTTAATCATTCTCCCCTATATTTTAGTATATGGACTAGTCCAAGAGTCACGTGACACCACAAACCTCTGCACTCAACTGGACGAAAAATAATGCCGGCCTACTTTCATATAAAGTTTATATTGTAAAAACCGTCGCAAAATCAATATGGTATTTAAAACTCAGGGGACCTAAGTTATACAAAACCTGGATAAGGGAAAGATGATCAATCCGCATAATCTTGCAAAAGCCTTTTGGATGCCGCGGATTAATATAAGCAGTGAGAATCAGTAAACCGGACTTTCAAAGACACCAATCTGGCGGGAAATTTAAATGACCGAAAAATACGCACTCCAAATGTCTTGCCTTACTAGTTTTCAAATAAATGAGGAAAAGCATGAAAATGTTGTTTTCTGGTTAATTCTAATCTACAGGATGTGAGAATTCTTATTTTACATTTCTATTTTTGTCCTATCTATTTGTATCTATTTTTGTTGAGTGTTTTGGACAAAGTTCAGGACACAGCATCATGAACCTTGATCATGAACTCTGAGTGGACGAAATGTGATACTGTCTTCCAGCTATCAAAACATGGAAAAGATCTGCTTGGAGATTTTCTGTTTTTAAAGGTGGTCAGTAGTAACAATGAGGACATCTAGTGATTCCTTACCAAACTGCAGCAGCAGAGGATGCAGAGCACATATGTACATGGCTAATTGGGATGGAGGTCCAGATAACTATGTGGGTTCCAGCAGTGTAGGTAATTTTCTTCTTGGCATATATGTTCTACATGTAGGTCTAAGATAAGATAAGGTATAATTATTTATTCTGCTGAAGTACTGTGGTGATGGTAATATCATAGCAATAACAGTTAATACCATGAAAACTTGTTAAACCATGTGGCACGATTCAATACCTGTGTGGGCATAGAAACTTAGCCTCCTGTGCAGACCTAAAGTGGGGCAGCATTTGGTTCCACGAGCAGCTAGAGCGACATTCTTTTTTTGGTGAAGGCCAAGTTCAGAGAGCTGTCTGTTCGGGGTGAAACTAAAGATGTCTTATTGAGGGACAAATGTGGTGTGGTAGAAATCAGTTCACTTGACAAATGAATCCACTCTACTTTTTACTGCTAAAAGTGCAAGGCAAAAAACACATTTCACTTGTGCTTTTTTACTTCTTCAGGACAAACATTATCAGTTGAAAACCCCCTAGGCCCCTTGAGACAAATTTAGCTAACAAGGCGGTACCAGTTTTCCTAAAACGTTATCAGCTTTGGTCTCTCGCCCATACAAATGTAGCCCTTAAATATCCTACAATTGATATTTTGCAGCAGTCATTACAAGGAGCTTTCATGTGTGCAGAAAGTGATAACGGCTCCCCCTAGGTGATGTATCCATGCTGCAGGCAATGTCTTTGATCTAAAACAGATTACTAGTAGCGAGTAACGTTACATGTTTAACAAGTATTAAATATGACTATTTACTGTAGTAGCAAGTGAGGATAATGTAATTATTATATGATGGCTTGTGGTATCATCTTTATTTTTATATGATTAGACTGTTTCCAATACCAGTTTATATCTTAAAATAAAAACATATTAGTTTAAGACAAAGAAATAAAAAAGAACAAAAATATAAAAAATCAATCATCTGGAGAACAACAGGAACAATTCATCGTTAAAAAAGGTGGCTGAGAAATGTGTGATGTTGGGTAAGAAACTTAGCAGTGCTTTAAAAATCATACCTTTAATGTAAGACACATTCAGGATTATATTATGGAATATATGTGTGATATACAAATAACATATTCCAAGTGCTGCAATTCTATTTTTATCATACACAACTTACATTTAGTAGATATTAGTAACTTGGCCATTATACAAAAATATTTTAAAATATGCATGCTAGAGCTAACAGAATTTCCTTTTGCAATTTGTCAGTTACAGAAGACAGCGACCATACAATGTCATTCCCCTTGCCTGCTGCTATCTCCTATTTCATGTACTTGGGTGCTGTCCTTGGTGCTGATAGTGCAGCAGTGTTTTGGAAAATGACAACAGACTGTGTGCTACCTATCCTGGCCTGCAGCTACTCCTATATTTCACACCACAAAGTACCCTACACTGTAAATAATGAAGGAGAAGCAGCTCCAGTCATTTCAGCCCTGAAGGCGGAATTTGGCTGGTAAAAATTGCATGGTAGCGTGCCTAGTCCAGTGGGTAGTTTCCCTGCCTCTGGACCAAGAGGTTGGGAGTTCAAATCCTGGCTGTTGATGCTCACCCAACATGCACACGACTGAACAGGGTCACAGTGCTTAGGATGAGATGTAAGCCATTTGTACTTGTCAGAACGAGCTAGGAGAGTCTGAGAATTTCCCCAGAACAATGAACTTGTAAACACAGTACATACCGGTAATGTTATCTGTCTTCTCTATCACAACCATTCCAATGAGGAATAGCTCTTCAGGGAACTAAACCGTTTCGAGATCACTTTCACATTGTTGTAAACAGGAAGACTCTGATATTCTATAGCTATATCAAACCTATTGAAGCTATTCATATAGATAATTACTACTTTGTTCTCAATATGGATTTAATTTCTATATATGTAGTTACAATGACTATTTATAAATTACATGATTGCAACATGAATGCATGTGTGTTTGTGGCTGGTTCATTCCTTTCAAATATGAAAATGGAACATACACATAAAATAAACTGTAAAATACAAAAATTCAGCAGTAAAACAATCATACACATGTACATACAATGTTGATACATTCTAAAAACTCCATCATATTGGCTAGAATATCTACATGTATAGTAGGATAAAACATGCAGGGATACTAAAACATGAGAATACTGATTTTGAAAACTAGACTAGCATCCACAATACAGTTTTCAAATTTATCCAGTTGCTTGAATAACAATTTTCTTATTTATCTCATTACCTGGATGCCTAACCTTTACTGACGCATCAAAGGTACACATTAAATAGCAGAAAATAGCTTTGAATTTATTCCATTTCATCAGACTTTCCAAAGTTTCAGTCATCATTACAGTCTTCCTGGAAACAGATACATCTTCTGAAACAACAACAGTGCTTCCATCCTGGGGGAACGCCCTATTAAGAACTACGGCACGGATAAATTAAACAATGGGGAATAGATGAAAACTTTTACTGTTTTTCCCTAGCCATTAAGCCCAGGTATCAGTGTGCCTAATTCTGTTGTGAACTGAATTTTCCCCCTTATGTGCGTCAATGCAATATTGAGTGATCATCTAAATCTTGAAAGTGTACCAGATATACTGTGAATGTGTTAAATTTTGCAGTGATTGTATTTTGCTTTAGGAGGAAAAAGAGGTTTTGAATTCATGCTTAAAACAATTCTGTCTTACTGTAGAACTACATGTAACGTTATATAAAACACATATTTGACGTGTTACTGAGTGTGTGTATGATTTCACAGTAGGAGGTCATTGTGAAAACTTCACAAAATATGTAAAGGTTTCTGCATTTACAGTATGCTTCATACATTTGCTCCTAGATGCTAACATCTAGATGCTATCCTATCCTACTCCAATGTAGTTTTTTTAAGGTCGCACTTCGGGACTTATTCGTCTGTTGTATTACTAAAATGTAAGCTATTGTATGTAGTGACGGACAGTGGAAGGAGCATGCAAGAAAAATGCTGTTACATATTTGAAGAAGCCACGCCTGAAGCATGTTTGTAAGCCCACCATACTCTAAGAGAGACTTAGAGTATATTTTGGTTTGCAATTGACTCTCAATGTTACTTACCAAGTCCAAGTACATAATTGATGTGTTCCACTGCATGACGGGTTACAGGTTTTGCAATTTAGATTGAGACTGCTGATACCCTCCCCATTCTTCATGCTGCACACCCTACAGCAGACAGAGCTGCCATAGTCAATACTTCCAAATGGCCACACACGCATTTGATGAATTGTTCAAGCTTTGTCAATTTACCAGCATACTAGGGAATCAATTGATGCTGGTCGGAGTAGATTTGAAGTCAGATATTATCATCTTTTCAGTTGCCTATATATCTCATTCTTCCCGTGACTGCTCCTTGCATGATGGTTTTTAGTAGTCCAAATGACAGTAGTGTGACATGCGGCCAATACCACTGTAATTTTGTTTCGTTATTCTATACTTTAATGTGGTTGGCAGATCTAGAATCTGATATACAAGCTATGGAATTTGTACAGTGTGAAGCCAGTCCAAACTGTATTGGGCACTTAATGGTTCAGGTACACCTACAACGAACCCCCATGGACATAGTTAATGTATCTCAATGTCAGTGCTATTTATCTCATCCTCTGGGAATTGTCCATGACTCCCAAAGGTCAATCAACCGTGGCAGCCATACTTAGCGCAAGCACCCTCATGCGTCAACTACATTTGTAGTTAGGGTTAGAGGCCAAGTTCAAGGTAGTCCTTCTGTACAGTGAGATGCTTTCTATGATCAATGACTCATGATTGACACTTAATTTGTACCAATAGGACACAACATTTCTACCATAGGTCAATTGACGTACTTCCAGAAAAAGGCAAAGGGTTGTAAAATATCACTGCAAATGCCAGTGTGAAAGTACCAGCAGAAAGGTGCTTATCTGTATGCATAGGTAACATCATATATCTTTGGCAGTGTACATGGAACATTATCACTTACTCTCTCAATTCTGCCTGGCACCTAACACCCCCATGAACTGAACCAAAAACTGATGCAGTATCCGTAATTGCCGTGGTCTGCACACTTCAGATATCCAGGTGTTCAAGACATTCTCCAAAAAGCCTTACAGTCTTATATAGTACCCAGCAGAATTATGTGTGTTGACGTTAAGTGCAC